TTCCACCCAGGTGAATAGATTCAGAATCAAAGCAGTCTTTATCCTATTGCAGACAACGAGAGCATTTGAGATGTCCAACATATTAAAGCAATTTTATAATTAGTAATTACTAATTAGACAGTTTTTTGGTTGTTCTTGGGGTACCCCTTTCATTGTTTTTGCAGTGTGTGTGTGTGTGTGTGTGTGTGTGTGTGTGTGTGTGTGTGTGCATTTGTGCATTTGTGAGTGCATGTGTGCATGTGTGCATGGGTTGTGGATTTTCACCACCACAGCCCCTGTTCCACCCAGATGAGTCGATCCAATATCGACGCAGCTTTACCTCTATTGCAGACAATGAAGCACACTTGAGATGAGCCATTCCAACAATGAAACAGTTTTACCTCTATACCAAGCAACATACAGCAGAATAGATCCGTTATATCCCTTTCTTGACTTTACTCTGGCTCTCATCGGCGTATCCCTGCTGCCCAGGTTGATTGTGGTTTAACGCCAGCTGCGCACATCCCCGTGAGCCTTAACGGCCCACTTGCACGTTATGAAAGGAGGCAGAGCAAAGGGAAAGATATACTCCTGTTCATTTTTCTTCGGATCTTCAGCTTATATTCTGTTTGTTCTCTTAATGATGCTAATTCGTATGCTGGTAGTACACAAGGGGAGTGAGGAAGGGAAGGGGTAGGAGTTGAGAGTTCTATAGGAAGTGAGGGGCAGGGTAGGGAGAAGGGGTAGAGGAGGGAAGTGGAGGGGCAAAGAACGAACTAGAGGAAAGACAAACTTCACAGGGTTCTCGATACTCACCGCAGGAGCAGACTATTCTAGAGTGCCTTCTTCCCCCGAATACAACGTACGGTCATTATAGCTGTATTGGAGGCATCTTTCAGTCTAGATACAGCTATAATAACCGTACGTTGTATTCGGGGGGAAAAGGTAGCACAAGAGGTCAGTCTGTGTTTGGGTTCCAGGAGATTTTGAGTTGAGGAGCTGTTGTTGCCTGTGGTACGTAGCCACCCCTACAGACCGGACAGGACTATCGGGTGTGGACTGTGGAAGCACGACCAATTCCCGCAGTTGCAGTTGCTGCATCGAATGGCACGGGGTAGACAGATGTCTACAGGCTCCGTGGCTCCTACATGCTAGGAGCGCAGAGGCCCACCATCTGCAATTGTATAGGCAATGTCGTTCCAGCCCCTCTCGATTGGACATGACATGTCAGGGTGCCGTATCTGTGTGTGGATGTGTGGATGTGTGGATGTGTGGATGTGTGGGTGTGTGGGTGTGCGGGTGCGGGAGTGTGCGGGTGCCGGAGTGTGTGGGTGTGTGGGTGTGTGGGTGTGTGGGTGTGTGGGTGTGCGGGTGTGTGCACTGTATGGGTGTGTGGGTGTGTGGGTGTGTGGGTGTGTGGGTGTGTGGGTGTATGCATGTGGGTGTGCGTGCATGCATGCATTTTGGGGTGTGTTTGTTTGAGCGGAGGGTGTGCGCGTGCGTGCATTTTGGGGTGTGGGGAGGCCTAGCTTTTGCGGAAGGGCTGGGCAGGGGGTCAGCCGGTGGACATCACACAATACTGAGTCACGCACCATGCGACTCGAGGAAACTCCATATGTGTCCAAGGAATAGTAACCAGGACAGAACGTTCGAATGCCCCCAACTCTGCAACATCAGGATCCAAGGATCCAAACCCCCCTGGAGTGAAGGGACGCGGAGTGGCCACCATGGCAGGTAAGCTATAGAGTAATGGATGTATGTTTTTATTTGTTCCTTGCATGGCAGGAAGTTCTTTGAAGGTGCTTGCCAAGTGCGCACTTAAAGGTGCTTGCCGAGCCCGCGGCCATTCTGTGAGAAGCTAGAGGCCTGTGTACCATTCATTCAATTGTAGCTGAATTTGGCGTAACTGCTCAAGGTGCTCGCCGAGCGCTCACTTCACTGATTAAATAAGTTTCAGCCGCCTGACGAGTCGGTGAAACTCTGTCGTAGCAGGCTGTCACATCCTCTTGTTTGTTGTCCTCTTCTCCCTTTCTGTCCACGGTTAACCAGGCAGTTCTGTACGATGACATATACATATCTATTAAACCTCCATAAAAGTCTAGTTATGACTGTGCTATCAACAACAAAAGAGGTCGCAGCAGATTTCGGCATATGGTGTGCTTGATCACCCCGTTCGTTAATGCCCAGAGTCCCCCAGACTTTCTTCAACCTTTTACTGCTCATGGATGCTGTTTATTATTCATTGGGACATTCACTGTCATTCAGCAAATTGTTACAATATATCGAGTGTTTGCTTGCTTAAACCACCACTGCCTCCAAGTCTTCTTTTTGCCAAGGCGGAGAAGAATTGCGGGCCAAGCTTTGCCGAAGCACAGGCGCAACCCTTTTTTTCTTTTGTTTTGGCTGGCGCCGCTAGCCATTTTGGTCCAGCGGCGCCCGGCCTCCAAAGAATGCAGTATAGCTTATATTTACGACTTAGCTTTCGCCAAAAAAAAAAAAAAAAACAAAAAAAAAAACGACTTAGCCTTCACCTCTGAAAGGTAGTGGTAGTTTAAGGGGGATTGAATTTTCAATTTTCCGAATGCACATCCCAAAACAGGGGAACCCCAACAGGAAAAAAGAAAAAGAAAAAGAAAAAGGAAGGCGAAAGCGCACACCTGAGTATCACTCCAGTCGACACAACGCAAAAACTTTGTCAGCGCCCTCTTATCAGTTGTAAGGGAGAATCTGAACCGCCATAGCAACTGCCGCTCATCACCAGTCAAAGCCTTCTTTGTAGGCTGGTTCAAAATCGCAACAATTCCTCTGCAGGGGATGAAGATCAGCAAAACAAAACAGAGGTAAGAAACGCGAGCACGAGCTAGAAAGGAGTATAAATGACGAGTGGAGACAATGCTGGGCTGTGAAAAAGACAAAAAAAATACAAGAAAAGTCAGCACAACTCCTCTCGCAAAAGAAATAACATCGACCTCAGATGACAGATATAGGTTAGGATGTAACAGGAACTTAAAAAATAAATGTGACGGAAACGAGTTTTTTTGAAAGGAAGGAAAGTCGGACATTCACAGCACATCTGGTGAAGATGAGACAAACATTTCGCCAAAACAAAAGGGGATATCAATGGCAGGGCAAATATGAATGAGAATCCATATAATATAATATTATATCTACATATTATACAAAAACGTAATGCACAATGCAACATTTGTGCAATGGCGTGATGTAGTCCAGAGTGATCGCTGACGTAGTTGTTAAAACTGTTTCCATATCTTTTATCTACTTCTTTTTTCATAGTCTCAAAGGGATCCTCTTGCTAACTTCTATCAAATCAACGCAGGACTTCCCCTTGGGGATTGATCCATCTAAGTAATGTAAATGAATGTTTTCCGAGAAACTTTTCCCGATACATATAGCTGGATGCACAAGAGGAAACTTTTGGTTGTTGCAAGCGCGCCTATAACTTTCCGGGTCGGAAGGAGAGAAGCGATAAATAAACTTTAATAAAGTTAAATAACAACCAGCCAATGACAATGCGTCTGGAGTTTGCGAGTGCGTCCATAACTTTCCAATCCAGGCCATCACCAGCCAACACAAAATCTTGACGTCCATTCTGAAGTAGCCTGGCTGGAGCACCATGTTGAATAATGATTTCAGTAAAAGCATGGAATTGTCTTTCACATTTCATTTCTTGAAAAAAAAAATATCCCACTAGCCAAGAAAAGAGAGGACAAATTTTCCCGATGTCCACAGACCACGTAGTTCCTACTGCATCGACTTCATTGAAAATTTGGTCAAGAAAGTGATCAAAAAAATCATCAAACCCAACTTCATGAACAAACCAAAAGCTGAAATGAAAAGAAAAATATTCACACGCTACCAGGGTCACATGGGCTGGGGGTCGGGCAGCGGGGTCCAGGAATCCAGGAACCATCTGTCCGGGTCACCTGGGCAAGCCACAAATGAGAGCGGGGCGAGGGGGGCGCCGAGGGCAGAGGGGGAAGGGGGAAGAGGTTCATGGTTCGGCATTTCGGTACCCACCAAGATGTGTGCAAATCTAGCCTTATCTTTGAATTCAGTGATCCTTCATTTTAAGGTGTTTCCAGAAAGCAAAGACCTGGTCTAAAGGGGTTTAAAGGGCCTTAAATGGGTGTCCCATAATTTAATTTCTTAGTTTCTGTGAGGCCCGAGGGGCTCTCAGCAGTGAGGGTCTCTAGGCCCTAAGGTGGAGGCAACGCTGTAGGTCAGGATGACGCCAGAGTGGCCAGGCCAAGGAAGCAACGGCCTGGTTGTGATTTCTACTGGACTGGTTGGGAGATTGGCACTGTACCAGGAGTCCGAAGTCTTCCAGAAGAGGTTGGACAGTGCCGATAGGGATCCTGACCAGGCTGCTATATGTGGAAGAGCCAGGGAAGCACCAGCGCATTCCTGTCGGGCAGAAGCTGCCAGGCTGCTTAAGCGCACGAGCTCTGGAAGAGCAGCAGAAACCAGATACTGAGAACGTGCCCGGAAGACAACGTGGCCCAAAAGAGGGTTAAGTGTTTGGCGAAGGCGAAGGCGAAGCCCCTGGGAGAGAGAGTTGGTGAAGGACTCGCCTCGTGATCACCAAGAAGAGCTCCAGCACGACACATTCTTCGGCCAGGCATCAGCACGAGCAGCGTAGTACTGTGCGGCATTGTTCATTTCCATAGTGTAGGTTAGCGTAGATGACAGAGTAGATTATCGCACTGGTTGGTAGGAACGGCAGCAGGGAATTATCATTGTTGTCGCATTGATTGTTGGGAGAGAAGAAGACTTTTCTTCTTCCTTTTTTTTCCCCCGTAAAACTAAGATATATTCTTCTCTCCAATGTACCTCACACTACCTAGCCTCATGCCTATATCTATATAAGTCCAGTTGCTGTGTCTACGGGATTCCTCCCCTACCTATCCCCTCAAGATTGAGCCTTCCCGGTTGAGCCTGCCCCTTCAGGGTTGAATCTAACCCCTAGCATCTTCACCCGAATAGAACGCCAGGTAATTATCACCGTATCTGGGCTGAACGTTGTGCCAAATACAGCTATAATGACCGGGCGTTCTATTCGGTTGAAGACGGTAGCACGGGAGGAAAGGGGCAAACCTATTCGCCTACCAAGTCCAGAGTGGCTGAACCGTCTATCTCAGGTGGCGAGCCCAAAGTGTGCTGCAGGAGGGCGTGGGGGGCCGAATGGATGCCATGGGGAATCGAACCACGACCTCCTGAATACTGCTTGCGTGCTCAACAGGGAGATGGAGACTTTTAATCAACAACAGAAGGAGACTTTTAATCATCAACAGACTTAAACATTGTCAATTCTTATGCTGGTTTGATCATTGCCTTGTCATTTCTGATAATTTCCCTTGTCGTCATGTGCATGTTGGTAACAAGACTTCACTGTGCTTCTGATTTGAGTTTATCGATTGCAGTTCCCTTACAATTTGGTATCAGAGTGGATCACGGTTGAGCGTACATCTGCAGGCAATAGATGCACATGGCGAGTGGCGAGAGAAAACCTATGGTGCCGTTCATCACTGAGGGGCAGTGTGAGGAGGCATCTCGCGAGTGCTCATCCTGAGAAGACGAGTGCATGGCGAATGACGAGAGCGTACACGTACTGGCAATAGATGCTGTGCGGTGCCGTTCATCACAGTGAGGAGGCATCTCGTCGGTGCGCTGTTCATCCTGAAAAGACGAGTGCATGCCGAGCGCCGAGAGCAACCTATGGTGATTGTCATTGCTAATTGGTGCCGCTGCCACCAAAAAACTTGGGCCACTTCCAAAGGCCGTGTTCCAAGCTAGAACGCGGTAGAAAGCGCCGGGCCAGGGGTAGAATGCAGTAGAACGTGCGCGTTTGCGAGATCTACGCATTCTTCAGACCACATAGCCTGGCGGAATGGCCAGATGGCTAGCTGGCTAGCTGGCTGCATGGATGACGAACAATAGACAAAAAACTGTGTGGCAGAGGAAGGCATGCTCACTTCCGCTCTTGCGAGTTGGGCTTCAAGTCGCGATCAATCATCCCGCGAGTGAGACTTCTTGCCAGTTTGATCTGCTTCTCTTCAGCAGGATTCGGGCAACCAACTTCCGGGTCAAAAACTTTGACCAGATCATTCGAGACAGTCAACGGCTGGGCTAGGACCTGCAAAGCTCCCATTGCCTGCAAAAACCACAAGGAAGTCGATGGAAGGAATCAGGTTCCGAGCTATTACCTACCAAAAAACATCTCAATTTATTCCCCATATGCTATGCTCGCACACCCCCTTTCCTGTCAAAATGCTACTTTATCGTCCAATACACATCAGATCGCTCTTTTTCATTTCGGCAAAAAAAAATATCAAACTGGCTTGCAAACTTTTCCCCTACCCCTTCCACATAGCGCTAAAGTTCAAAGGAGTTTTTTTTTTTTTTTTTTTTTTTTTGGAAGTTCACAAGGAGGACAACAAGGTTACAATACACAATAGCCATCACCATGGCAAGGTGTATCATTTCTTGTCTTTTTTTTCTTCTTTTGTTTTTTCAGTTCAGGCCTGGCAGCTGGGGGTCTGGGAAGTTCACTGCAGCAGTCGGCGGGGCACTTGGGGGTACATACAGCTGGGGTTTAAAAGGGTAGAGAGGGTTCTGCCTTCATTAGTTTCTTTTTTTTTTTTTTTTTTTTTTAAGGGCGACGGCCTTGAGATATCATCATTAAACTGACCGGCCCCAAGTAATTCAGAATGATTTTATTCTGGTGATCTGATAGTATCTGGATTCGAACTTGGGTCTGCATTTCAAGTTTCAACAGTTCATGGGTGTACCAACTGAGCTAGGCCCATTGGTACCATCATTAGTTTTTTTTTTTTTTTTTTTAAATTTAACTTTTTTTTCCTAGTTCAATTTTAATAAAGGAGTTCAGATTGACCCTCAGTTAAAAGCTGTTTGCATTGTAAGCACACAACTTTTTCTCCAAGAGGTTTTTTCCTCTTATTTTGCACCACGGATGCCTGGGACGTTGACTGGACCTTGCCCAGCTGAGCTTCCCGGTTGGCTGCAGGCAGCCAGAGCCAACCGGTCTACCCAGCTGGTAGCCTGGCACTAACACATGCCCTATCTATTCTGGAGGCTGCAGTCCACTTGATGAGGGCGGCAAGAAAAATCATAAGGTTCTGGGAAAGAAGTTCAAAGAACCAAACCAAGAAACAAAGGACGTAAAAGGATTTCACGAGTATCAGTGTCCTGTCCCAGTCCCAGTCCCGAGGTTCCATGTCCCCTGTACCATAAGTACGAGTCCAGCGGTAAGACAGGCTGTTTAGTCTGTAGGCCGGTAGGTTAGCAGCTCAGTCCAATCCGGTATAGTCCAGTCTTGTCCCGTACAGTCCCATACAGTCCAGTCAGCGGCCCAAGTCCCAAGAAAGTGAACATTCCGAATGGGTCAAAGGTCGACTGCGGCCAGCAAGTGAGGGTACTGGTCGTGAAAGTCTGAGGTTGAGAAGCTGAAGCATTGCATACAAAAGTCCAGCAGCAGTGCGGGTCAACATCTTTTCAACTTGTGTGTGTTAGGAAGCGCTACTGCGACCAAATGATGAGTGAGGACGGAGTGAGGAAGCAAGTACCTGTAGTCGACGCGTGATGGGTGCACTAGCTACTACGCTTAGAGTACTAGCACGAGGAGATTCGGAGAGGAAGAGAGGCCTGAGGGTAGGGAGGGAAAGAGAGAGAAGGAAAGTGAGTTCATTCTTGGTTGTTACTGGCAGCCATAGTGAGATGAACATGCGGTCGTGAGAGTTGGTCACACACATGATTGTGTGTGTGTGTGTGCGTGTGTGTGTTGTCATATTCGCTATACACTCAAAAAAAGCATGACTGTACCAGCACGAGGAGACATTCGGAGAGGAAGAGAGGCCTGAGGGTAGGGAGGGAAAGAGAGAGAAGGAAAGTGAGTTCATTCTTGGCTGTTACTGGCAGCCATAGTGCGATGAGCATGCGGTCGTGAGAGATGGTCACACACATGATTGTGTGTGTGTGTGTGCGTGTGTGTGTTGTCATATTCGCTATACACTCAAAAAAAGCATGACTGTACCAGACTGTTTCAGTGTGTGTGTGTGTGTGTGTGTGTGTGTGTGTGTGTGTGTGTGTGTGTGTGTGTGTG